GAGGGGGGGGATGGCGGTAGCTTGAAAACTCTCAATTGAATGAGGAATGAAAAAACAGAGTATGCTTCATCTCTCCTGCTCTCAAGCACAGTACCAAGCACCTGCATTTGTACAGACAACATTTCTCTCTCCTGTAAACAAATCTGGCATGAAGTTTGATACAAAAGGGAAATTTAAAAATAAAATCCAGCTCTTCAATCTCTGAAGAAGCCCTGCCCTCTGTGGCACTTCTGGGAGCTCTGGCATGAGGGCAGAACTGGAGGTCAGGCACAGTTATTCTCCATGCCCTGGATCGTGGACTGAAGCCTGTATGGAGCTGGCTGTGTAAAAGCTGAGACTTAACAGTGGTCCTCAGAGAGGAAAGCAGGAGCCCATGTCTGCTCCCGTGGCGTGGCAGAAGGGAAGTCTCTTTAACTGAAAAAGGTGCCAAATCCAGAAATTTCAGCATTCAACTGCAAAAAGGAGAAAAAGCTAAGGAGCTAGGAAAGATTCACGGGACAGAGATGAGTCCTAACCAGCCCTTTAATACTATCTTCTCCAGAGCCGCAGAAGAAGCATCCTCGCCAAGTCAGGAATTGCTCTTGACTTCTCTGTCTTCCTAGAAATCATAAGACAGTAATTACTGCAAGAAGCCACTGCAAGGAGTCCACTCAGGAAGGCTTCAGTTTCCTCTCAAGCACACGCAGGGAAGCTCAGAAGTAAATGATTAATGGTCCAAAGCTTTATTTGATCTGCTGCTACAATTAAGTAGTGGCTGGCAAAGCTCACCGGCCTCCCTCAGGTACTAATCCATATTGGGCTGTTTCAAAGAGTTCCTGAGAAACTGGAGCTTAGATAACCTCGTTAAAAGCTATTTGAGAGGTGTTTCAGTTGCATTAATATACTGTGTGACTACTGAAGATATCCATATGCTGCTCATACATAAAAACACGAATAAGTCATCTGTTGGGTAGCTGAGGTTTTTCAGTTATGTCTAAATGGTATACAGATTTGATGGGTATTCGGATGTAAAGGATATTCATTGACTGAACATGAATTTAGTAAATAACTTCCATCCATGTATTTGGCTAGGAGTGACACGTGATTTTTGTATGAACGTGAGTTACCTGTTAGACCTGTAACTACCAAGTTCTGACATTTCTGGTGCCAAATACCATATGGAGAGACTGAGCCATTAGAAAAATACATTTGAGCAGAGGTAAGTTTATTTTTATAAGCTACAGATGGTTTTCACAAACAGTATTTACCTATCTGAAAATATGTGCTTGCAAAATATTCCATCTATCTCAGTATCATACCCAGATGTTTTTACTGAAAATAAATAAAAAAAAACCCCAGCTCTGGCACTGCCAAAAGAAGATCCCTTGAAAGAACAGATGATATTTTCAATGCTGACAAAGAGTGGGATAACATTTTAAAAATTATGAAAAAAATAAACAGCATTTAAAATAATTCAGGCATGGAGCGCGAGGTTTATAAAGACAAGGGATGGCACCACCCTCACTGCCTTCCTGATGCTGGTACCTCAGTCTCATAATTTCTTTGGAGCTGGACCTGCTGTCTAGAAACCCAGCTCGGAGAACTGACCTCACCGGTAACAACACTGTGTCGCTGTTGTGGCTGTGTTACTTTTCAGGTGGACTAGGTCCTTGGTTCATCTCACGAGCGCACAAAACCGTGGGCCAGCAGAAGGGTGGCAGCAGCAGTGAGTGGCTGGGAGCAGGGCAGTCCTCGCCCGGGGCAGGCCAGACCATGCTGAGTGCGAACGGGCGTGCAACCAGAGTGACAGGCACAGAAATGTCTTTGGGGATCTGAGCCCGAGAACCATCGTCTCGTTCACGTCCTGAGGGAATCACTTCCCGAAATCATCCCCTTATTTTTTATATTTTAACATTTTATTCTTGAATATAAAACTTCCGTTCTTCTGAAAGACTGAAATCAGAGTTCTGATACTCCTAAATTAGAAAAACATTGCTAAATTGTAATATAAAGGAAGAAAAATCTTGCTTTGATGGAAAAAAATCCATTTTTTCTTCCTTTATTGCTAAAAAGTGTGGCTTTTTTCACTCATAAAATATATAAATTTCAAATTTTTGTTTAAAAATATTATTAAACCAGGACTTTTTCATTAAAATGTGGAATATTCACACATTTAGAAATGGTTTTGATTAACATCCACCTTCTTAGACTGCTATAGATCCTACAAATATCGTAGCATAGGATTTTTTCAATATTTTTTAGTAATCCCGTCAAAACAATAGGATAAAAAGTATTTAAAGTTCCACTTAAGCTGATACTTAATTTCAATGGCTGGCAGCTAGACGGATTTTTTCCATGCAAAATAAAAACTTTGCATGAAAATGTTTAAAGAAGTGTCCCCAAGGGAAGCCCACCTTGTGCAAACCTGGGGTTTAGAGGTGACATGAAAGGAGGAGAACACAGAAGTACAGCATATCCTTCTGTCCACCTGACCTGCGTTTGCCCATGTCTGTCGGTGTGACAGCTCCACTGTGACAACTACCTGCTTACAACCTTGCTGCTGCATGGACATGGAGATCCTCCTGTTGAAAAGGAAAAGTAGTGTTACATGGCCAACAGATCGAACATGGGTGACATTTTTCACCTTGAGATATACCACTTGCCTCCTATAGTAAATTAATTGGGGGGGTGTGTCGGTGTGGGGGGGTGTCAATTAAAAAATAAACATAAGAAAATTGGGAAGAAAAAAACACAGGTCTTAATACAGCTTGGATGACAAGAACTGCCAAACCAAATCTGGCAGAAGACCCTGCTTGATGTATCCAAATTTTGGATCATAGCTCCTACATTTCAATCACACTGGAAAGCATATCGAGAAGTACCACAACTGCGCAAGGCAGAGATGCTTTTGAGAGTAGTTTCTTTAACTTGCTCTTACAGATCTGCAAAAAGGGAAATCCCCAAATTTCCCATGCTGTCTCTTCTGGAGCACCACAATCCTGACATCTAACCTAAATCTCATGCTGAGGTTTAAGCTGTTATGCTGCTTGCTCTTCTGTCTTCACTATGGACTTTCAGGGGGATCTTGTGCCACACAGGCTATATTCCTGTCTGTTCGTGCTAGGACAGCCATGAGCATGGTGACTCATGCTCAGCCTGAGGTTCACTATAACCTCCCGGTTCTTCATGGAGCTGCTACCTGTCTGGCTGTTCCCCACCCTGCATTTCTGCAGCTGATGGCTCTCTCTGAGCTTGCACTCATGCTTCAGGAGCATTCCACTTTTCCAGACCATTTTTCCAGTTTGTCAAGATAATTTCTGAACTCTAATCTTGTTCCCCAGCATAGCCACAGCCCTTCCCAGCACCACCCAATTTAGTAAGCACGCTCTCTGTGTCATTATCCACGCCACTGGTGAAAATCTTTGATGGCACTGGACAAACTGCTGCTTAATTCCTCTTATAAAGCTCGGCATTTTCACTGTTTACTGCTCTTGCGTACAGCTGTGCAATCAGTTCTGCAGGTGTCCCCTGGCTTAGACTTTATCAAAGTGTCACGGGAGTCAAATCCACACTTAAATCAACTAAAATCGCCGCCTTCTTATTTTTCCTTTATCAAAGAGGGAAGTCAAATCCTTCCCACCTCAGCTGCTTTTGTCGCTTACACATCCTTTTCTTGGGCTCTGGATGTTCAGGAAGGGCAGGCGATGTGGGGCGAAGGGGGTGGAGGGGGGGCGGCGGGAGCGAGGA